TACCGCGAGTACCACTCCCGCAGCTGCTGTGAAGAGGGAGCGCCTCCAGGCGCAGCACGGTCAGTCGCAGCACCCCCAGGCTCAGTACCCTCAGACGTAGCACTCTCAGGCTCAGCACCCCCAGACTCAGCACCCTCAGGCTCAGCACCCCCAGACTCCGCACGCTCAGGCTCAGCACCCCTAGCAGGACGAGAGTCGACAGCTACCTCGACAGGCTCAACCGGGTCTACCTGGGACACACCTGAGGGAGCGGCACCCTGAGGGGGGAGGGGGTCTACCACAGCAGCACCTGGTGCGAGGAAGAGAGGCGGGGGGGGGGAGCGGGGCAGTGCGGTAGGGGAAGAGGCGGTAGTAGGGGACCGACTCGTCGAAAGTGACGTCCTGAGAGGGCAGGACACGGCGCGAGGTGGCGTGGTAAAACTGCCAACCAGACGCGTCCGGGACAAAGCCAAGGAAGACACAAGGAACAGCGCGGGAGGAGAGCTTGTCCGCGGACGGATCGCGGACAAAAGCACGAGATCCCCAGACCCGGAACACCGACTCATCGCCAACCTCTCCCGTCCAACGCAGTGTCGGCGAAGTCTCCGGAACGGAGACACGGGGCCAGAGGTTGAGCTGATGCGCAGCGTATCGGACCGCAAACGGCCACAGAAAGTTGGGGGCAGCCGCATGGATCAAGGAGGTACGAGCGACCTCCATGACCAAGCCAATGCGGCGCTCAGCAACCCCATTCTGCTGTGGAGAGGCCGGAAGCGTGAACGACTGCTCAATGCCCTCCCCACGACAAAAGTCCCTCAAGAGGTCGAAGGAAAACTCCCCACCTCTGTCAGAGTGCAGACGCAGAACAGGAAAGTCCGAGTGGAACCTCTCGCTGAGCCGGAGACGGGCAGCGCGGATCCAAGGGATCAAAACATCAGGGACTTCACCCTTGGTGCGCAAGGGGAAGACCGTGGTGTAGCGCGAGTAGTCGTCAACAACTATCAAGAAGTACCTCTCGTGACCCTGTCCACGGACGCGGGCCGGGCCCCACACGTCCATGTGGAGGGTCTGCAGGGGAGCAGTCGTCGGGGGAAACGAGGAGGAGTGAGGAGCGGCGCGCTGCCGCCCCTCGACACAAGGAAGACAGGGAGGAGCAGGCGAGGGTGGGAGGGGAGGGAGAACCCTGGGAAGACCAGAGACAAGGTACCGGGAGTGCATGCCACGAAGGCGCTGCACTGACGGGTGACCAAGGCGGTGGTGCCAGAGGACGGTCTCGTGCGACAGGGAGCGACACGAGCAGGGGGCCGACAGCTGACCTGACGCAGACGCAGACGCAGCTACCTGAGGGGACTCAGTGGTCAGTGTGTACAGGTCCGACCCCGGCTGCCGAGTGAAGGTAGCCAGGTGGCGACCCGTCCGAGCACACGTGCAGTGTGTCACGCGCTCGTAGGCAGGGGTGAACTGGTGGACACCCCCGTCCTGGAGCGCACGACCCGCCACCAAGTTCGTAGAGAACGAGGGGAGGTAGAGACTTGACAGTGTGCCCGACGGGACCGCAGGACAAGGGAGGACAGTGGAGGAGGTCGCAATGACCGGACCCCCAGAGGGGTCAGCGAGGGAGACTGCAACTGGCCGAGCAAGCTGCTCAAGGGGAGTGCGGTCACGAAAGAAACAGCGGGAAGCACCTGAGTCCAGTGTGAAGGTGTGCAGTGCCTCAGTAGACGCAGTACCAGAGGGCGCAGACTCACGAGTACCTAGAGCAGCAGCCTCACCAGCACCTGGGGCAACAGACACACCAGCACCTAGAGCGGCAGCCTCACCAGGACCTAGGGCAGCAGACGTACTAGCACCTAGAGCGGCAGCCTCACCAGTACCTAGAGCAGCAGACTGGATACCGGGGTCAGGCGGCACACACAGGTGACAGGCACCCTCAGCACTAGTAGACAATGCATACATGGCAGTGAGGATAGCATCATAGTCAAGAGCAAAGATATCTACCCTCTGCCTAAGCAGCTCCAGCCAGGAGGGGAGCTCAGCGTCGTCGCCAAACTCTGTACGCCAAGCGTCGCTCAGACGGGCTAAGCAGTGGGACTCTGTGTGACTAGGTGTCCCGCAAGGCTGACCAGTCCGGACACCTGTGCGAATGACGTACGGGCAGCGAGCAGTACTCAGTGACGCTCTACTCTGAGCGTACCACTCACGAAGCTGCTGGGGCAAAAGAGCCTCGCGGGGACGACGCTGCAGCTGCACCTGGCCACTACCAGAAGCTCCCGAACTACCCACTCCAGAGAGACTCCCACTACGGCCACCCCGACAACCCCAACGAGCGTACCACTCACGAAGCTGCTGGGGCGTGAGGGACTCACGCGGACGGCCCCGGAGCTGCATCTGACCACGCCAGGAGCAGCAGTAGCAGCAGTAGCGGCAGTAACAGCAGTAGCAGCAGGAGCAGTAGCAGTAGGAGCAGTAAAAGCAGTAGCAGCAGTAGCAGCGGTAGCAGCACAGGCAGGGCGGCAGGGTGGCTCTCGAGGGCGCGGGTAGGCAGGCGCTCAAGGGCGCGAGTAGGCAGGCGCTCGAGGGCGCGGGTAGGCAGGCGCTCGAGGGCGCGGGTAGGCAGGCGGGCGGCACACGGGGCTGCACGGGGCCGCGAGGGGCTGCGTGCGAGGCTAGTGGGCAGCGCGCAACTAGCAACAGGGCGCACGAGGGCGCAGGCAGTAGTAGCAGTGGTGGGCCCTTAGGAACGTTTGGTCCTAGGTTCCTAACCTAGGCTCTGATACCATGTCAGAATGAGAGAAGTGTTTGGACTAGCAAAATTGGGAGTACAAGTAGGAAAACCTAGAAACTGTACCCCCTAAGGCTAAACCCACTATAGCCTACAGAACACAAACATATACAATGCTTGACAGACTGATATGCTAATAGCATGCATACTCAGCGGAAGTATTGAACTCATGTCAGTGTGAATGTAATTGACTAATTTTGATTTCGATTACGTCATAGCCAAATCTCTTTATGCCATGGTAGGGACTCTCCACTGACACAATGTTAAATCTCGTTTTGCCATGCATACACAAAGAAGAGGGAAATTTATATTCCATACGTTCCCGTTTAGAAAGTCGTAATGCAGTGTAGACACAGCTCCCCAACCAGCTGCATGTGAAAATAAGCGTGGATCCCTGGTTGAACATTACACTTAGTAGTGAAGTGACTGTGTATCACAAATGATTATATTCGTTTTTTGGCGTATACAGCCCTTAATTTTCTTAATAGAAAACATGTAAAAAAACTAGTCTGTATCCGTCATTGGCACATAACGTTATGCGAGTGCGATAACATCGAACCCAGGGCCCGGCGAGTGGACCGTTCATATGCGCGCTGTCTTTCGACCAATCATATGCTCATGCGTATATGACCGGTCATATACGCGGGAGCATACGCGCAGTCATTTGTGCGTGTGTCTATCACTGGTCAAGTGCGGTAGTGTATATGGCCGGTCAATTGTTCGACTCTGAATTATTGGTCAAGATCGTATGGTTATATGACCGGTCATATGTGTTATCACTAATGTTTTACTTGTAACATTCTTTCAAACATTCACCTTTATTCATCCAGAAGCAAAAAACAAGAAGCACTCCAATGTCTCTTTTTATCGCCCCCCATACCACTAATTCGTTACATGATACACATCTGACCCCCCATATTTTCCCTTACACTTCTTCCTTGTATGCTGAGTAGACCCACAGTCGCCACACTTGTATGTCCGTTTTGGTGCTTCTCGTCTTCGGTTAGATTGTGGCTGACCTGATCCTCTCTGCACAAAAACAGGGGGATCACAAACTCCATCCTCAACGGGCTTGGTCTCCGTAATAACCGTGTCTATGCACGAATACGGAATGAGCGCCGAGTAAGTCCTTCTCCAGTTGTCCGTCTTCCAATACCTGGTGATCAAGGGGATAACATCCATTTGCCTATCCCGTAAGTGTGCAAAGGCATGAGAACAGGGAAACCGATATTCTTGCCAGTTCTTGCACTCGCACAATCTCTCTCCCACATCATTGTTGAAGGCGAGGGGACGTCGATCCAAAGCGCTCCCCTTGTTCCAAACCCTTGCCTTGCTCGGACCATTGCGTGTGACCCTGTATCATCGGCTTCGGTTCTTTTTCAGCTCAAACCGCTTCTCAGCTTCGACCGTCAATGCATGCTGCCAGTTGGATGACTTCCGCTGCCCATCCGAGTAGATTTTTGCCATCCAATCCCACATGCCCGCCATTACGTGGAATACCGGCAAGATGCGGATCTTCTTAATAGCGTTGTTGATGGACTCCACCATCTGGCTGCTGTAGATGCCAAACCGACATGTGGGGGCATAACACCGTGCCCATTGCTTGATGAATACTGTGATTTTTTTTTTTCCTCTTGTATCTTGGTCCATCCTGGCCCGTGCGAACAAGAATGCCCGCCCCTTCCTCCATGGTATCACTGTCCTCCCGCACAGCATCCGCATTGCCCATCCCCCCCAATCCCGTCTCTACAGAGTGGTTGACGTCCGTGGCATGGTCGGCTTCGTTGGCCCAACCCATGTCTGGGATAACACCCTGCTGCGGTGTTGGCTGACGCGCACTTTGGCTCCCTTGCGTTGACAGCTGTGCTACTGGTGTTCCGGCGCGTTCTAACCCTCTTGCACCTGCCTCTCTTCCACTCCGTCTTCCCCTGATAATATCCATCCGCCGTTGGCGTCTCACTGCCGCTTGCTGCGTTGTTGTGGTGGACAGCGGTTGAGTTGTAGTATTGTTGGATTGGGAGCCGTGGCCCATGTTTGGACGCTCCTCATTCTCATCAGGCCCCGGCTCCTCCCCGCAGCTGATTTGGCTCCCATCCTCCACGTCAAAGTGCTCCATGAATACTTCTTCTGTGATATCTGCCTCCGCCTCACTGTCGGACATGGTTGTCGCTACATCTCCACCATTCTCGCCTGCCAAAGAAGGGTGCTCGGATGTGGGTGCTGTCACACGATCAAGTGGATGCACGTTGTCAGCATCCGTAGTTTGAGGCCGCAGGTCACTAGGGCGGTCACGGGTATGATTCGCAGTTGGCATGGGTCTGAACCCATGGTCCCAATGGGGCTGCTGAGATGGTAGCTGCTGAGATGGCTGCTGCTGAGATGATGGCTGCTGGGACGGTTGCTGCTGAGTTGAATGCTGACGAGATCTTCCGTGATTTGACGGTGTTTGATGAGAACGTGGCTGCTGAAATGGATACTGCCGAGATGGTGGCAGCTGAGATCGTCCCTGCAAAGATGGTGAGTACTGAGATGGTGGCTGCTGGGATGGTCGTTGCTGAGATGGTGCCTGCTGAGAAGGTGCCTGCTGTGATGGTGCCTGCTGCTCTCCCCTGCGAACACTCCTCCTTTGCCGCCGCATTTCCATCCTTGCCATTCTCGCTCTTCTTGCGGCACCCGTGCGGCTTCTTAATCCATCCCCCGCCTCTGGCTCCGGTGCACGCTGGTTGGCCCCGCGTCCACCACGGGTCTGCTGCGCACTGGCCTCCTCGACCCCAAAGAGATAGTTAGCCATTGCAGCACACTCGGTCCGGCATTTCCTCACGAGTTTGCCAAACTTCCGCTTGGTGCGGCAGTTTGCGAGCTTCTTGAAGAGTTCGGAGGCGTTAGGGCCAAACTTGAGCACATTCTGCTCCAAGTGCCAGCTGCAAAAGTAGTGGGGGAACTGGGATGGGAAAACTTCTTTCACCGCCGGTATTAACCCCTTGTCACGGTCGCTGATGAGGGAGGCATCGTGGGTGTCCGGCCACGACGGAAAATGCTTCAACAAATTCTCACAAAACCACTTCCAACTATCTTTGTTCTCACTCTCGCACAGGCCGTAAGCGAGTGGAACAAGCTGGTTATTTCCATCCTTAGCAGCTGCTACCAAGAGCGTGGCCCGCTGCGCACGAATGAGAAATGTACCATCCATACCAATGACTGGTCGACAGAACCTTAGAGCAGTTTTTGACGCCGATGGAGCGACAAAAGCCCGGAAGAAAGTGTGATCCCTTGTCACCAGGTCGATAGTTGAATCTGGGTCGATCTCTTTGAACCGTTCCAACACCCGCGGGATGTAGCGGAAAGACGTTTTCCAATCTCCAAAACGTTCCTTCAGCATCTTTTCCTTGAGCCTGCAAAAACGGACGACGGCGTGCAAGAAAACAAAAGCAGGTAGCACAAACATGAGGTGGATGGGGTGATTAAGAACTTGCATGTGACAATGGCAGTCATGTGGAATGAATGCTTGGAAACTTACCGCCATGATTGCTGATAATTAATATCGGGACCACCGGTAGACGCAATCTGTTCCTTGTACGTCCCGGGAGGGTGATGTGGTGCAGCATGGACAAGATTGCCGTGATGACGCTGCAGATAGGACACTTCATTTGTCGTGTGTTTCACGTAGCGGTCCCGATCAACGAGTGAGCAGCAGTGGGATGATGGGGCGGACAGTTTATCAACACGCCAAAACCCACCCACTCCGTCAGTAGAGTACTCACACCGCCACCGGCACGCAGGTTTACGACGCTCATGTTGACTCATGCATATGGCTTGGGCTCTGTGTCGCCTACTCCTCGTAACCCTAAATCCGAAGTTGCAAGCTACCGAATAGTCCTCCAGTGCTTCGTACAAAAATTGCTTAGAGGAGTATAGTTGACCTTCACACAACGGTGCTCGATCGTCTATGGCGATTTGTGGCGAGGGAGCCTCGTCGGCGACCATTTCCCGGACCAACGCACGGTACATATCGCTTTGTTTGGGCTCTCCAGTTCCAACGAAGCAAAACTCTGTGTCGTCATCGCCTGAGTCGGCCTCTGTGTTAGAAGTATAAGACGTAGAACTCAATGCGGCAAATAGGAACGTTCTAACCGTAGGACCTCCTAGATGAACCTCCTATAAGGACCTAACTGGTCTAATCAAAGGCTAAGGTAGATGTCAACCCTAAAACGACGAGAGGAAATGGTGTGAGCGATATGTAGCATATGGATCAAATGATAAAGCGCGGGAAGATGAAAAGGGCGTACCAAACCAGTTTGAGCGCCTTACTTCGAACCTAATTGGCCAGAGTTTAACTTTTGTGGAAGTGTATATAGTATATGATTGGCGGGATCATATAGTAAATTCTGTTTAATGAACGCGTTCAAATGTGATCGCCAATCCTTAATGCTTGCGCCTGATTGGACGCGCAGTGGCAACAAATGCACCGCGCATATTTCCTGACCAATCGAGCGCGGTCGTTATTGCTGTGGCGGTTCGTTTCGGGTCAAATGCAGCATATGATCGCGAAGTTATTTGCTCGATCACTGATTGGTTTGGAATTAATTGACCGCGCGCTCATTGGTCGCACATTTGGCCGAAACTGACCGGCCAATGTACTGTTGGTCGGTTTCTTGTACAGTGGGCGGGCCACTTTCGCGTCCGTGAGCCTGGCGAAATTTTCGGGTGCGGAACAGAACGGTACACTACCTCGGGATACCACTCGCACGAATGAGGAATTTCGGGGCTACACAGCCCCGTAGGGTAATGCGCCGGTGGAAAAAAAGCCAGCAAAAATCCCCAGGCGTGGCCACTCGAGTAATTATCACCAAATTGGGTGGCCACTCGAGTAATTCGAGGCCCCCAGAGCAAGGATGAATCACCGATTTGGCCACTGGAGAAATTCTCTCGCTGGTGCAAGCTCATGGTTTGGCGACCTGAAGAGGAGATTCGCTACACGGTAGCTTTAGGAAGAATTTTGTACTACATGATATAAACCAGTCATTTTCTGCAACCGACGCATCCACAACCGCGGACATCCTTTCTCCGTGATTTTCCCCTTTCCGCACCGCAACACCTGCCTTTCTTTCCTCCCTTCCTTCCTAGTGCCGTGTTTCTGTCCCGACCATTTGAAGTTAACAAATTTACGTGCTTTTCGGGTTCGCCTAGTTAGTAACTAGCCGTTCCTTACTTATCTGGCCGCATTGGGTCCGCCGTCATGAATTACCGTTTCAAGAACCTCCTCGGTGCGCCATACCGAGGAGGTAACATCCTCCTTCGCGAAGACACGAAGCTCTATTCGCCAGTTGGTAACCGCGTCAACGTCGTAGACCTGACGGCATCGGAGTCGAACACGCTTCCGTTCCAGACAATGACTGACGTGTCGCTCATCGCGCTATCCCCAGACGGTAACCTTCTAATAGCCGTCGATTCAGATGGACGGTCCAGAATGGTCAACGTGCATCGGCGCGTAGTGCTTCATCTTTTCAGATTCAAATTCCCCGTGGGAGCTCTCAAATTCAGCCCGGACGGAAAATTCTTCGCAGCAGGGGTTGGGCGACAACTCCAAATCTGGCACACGCCGGAAATGCGAAAAACCTTTTCGCCCATGCGACTGTTCAAGTCGTTTTCGGGAGGTTACGACAAGGTCACGGCCATTGATTGGTCCCCCGACGGAAAGTGGATTGTGGCCGCAAACAAGGATCTAACGGCCAGGATTTACTCGCTGGACTCCCTCAAAATGTACAAGCCGGTGCGGCTGACTGGGCACAAGGATGTGATTGTAGGCGCGTTCTTTTATGGAGGGGGCTCTGCCATTATGACTGGAGCTGGCCCAAACTTCAAACGGGCGGACGTGGCGCTGGGTTTAAGGGGGGTTCAGGGGGGACAGGGTGGGCTGGGGGAGGGCCCGGGGGGGGCGGAAAAGGCGCTGCGGATATACACGGTGTCGAAAGACGGCGCGCTGTTCTCGTGGTTCTTTGATCCGCTTCACAAGGGCTGGCGCAGGCGGAAGGGGAAGGGGCGCAGGGGGGGCAGGGGGGACCAGGGGGATAAGGGGGTTAAGGTTTATAAGAGGTCTAAGGAGGGGGAAGGTGGGGAGGTGGTAGATGATGGAGGGGAGGATGGGGATGATGAGGAGGAGAATGAGGAGGAGGACGAGGAGGAGGAGGATGAGGAGGAGAATGAGGGGAAGGATGTGAAGAACGGAGAGAAAGGGAAGACGAAGGAAGGAAAGGAAGACGAGAAGGAGGAGGAGGATGAGGATGAGGAGGAGGAGGAGGAAGAAGAGGAAGAGGAAGAGGATGAGGAAGAAGAAGATGAGGAAGGGGCTGAGGTGGAGGCGGATGGTGAAATGGAAGAGAAAGCAGAGAAGGATGATGAGGAAGACGAGGATGAGGAGGAGGAAGAGGAGGCGGAGGCAGAGGGGGAGGAGGAACAGCCAAGAAAGAAATCACGGCTGGTAGAAAAGGCACCCGCACCCACCCATTTTCGCCGGGACTTCCGATTGGACGAGGGCAAGTGGCGCCTGGAGGCGAAACATTTCTTCATGCTGCCCAAAGCACGCCTCACCTCCTGCGACCTGCACAAGCCCACCAATCTCCTGGTCGCCGGCTTCTCCTCGGGCATCTTCGGGCTGTACCAGCTGCCCGAGTTCGCCACCCTGCACCTCATGTCCATCTCACGAACCAAAATCTCCTCCGTCTCGTTCAACGAGGCGGGGGACTGGGTGGCAGTGGGCTGTGCGCGCCTGGGGCAGCTGCTGGTATGGGAGTGGCGATCGGAAACCTACGTGATGAAGGTTCAGGGTCATTTCTATGATGTCAGTTGTGTTGCTTTCTCGCCGGACGGCACGCGTGTGGTAACCGGGTCGGACGATGCCAAGGTGAAGGTCTGGAGCCTCGCGTCGGGGTTCTGCTTTGTAACGCTCGCCGAGCACACCGGCCCGGTTACCGCCGTGGCGTTTCTCCCATCCGGCGGCGCAGGGTCGGCAGCGGCGGCGGGCGGCGCAGGCGGCGGCGGGGGCGGCGGGACGGTGGTGAGCGCGTCACTGGACGGCACAGTGCGGGCGTTCGACCTGCTGCGGTACCGCTGCTTCCGCACGCTCACCACACCGCAGCCCGTGCAGTTTGCGTCGCTGGCCGTGCACCCGTCGGGCGAGGTGGTGTGTGCCGCGAGCCAGGATGACTTCCAGGTGTACGTGTGGAGCATGCGGACAGGGCGGCTGCTGGACGTCTTATCGGGGCATGAGGGGCCCGTTCACAGCCTCTCCTTCTCGCCCACGCAGGTGAGCAGAGCGTCGTTTAAGCGAGGCGGTTTGAGCCAAGAGAGTGAAGGCAGGGTGGTGTGCAAGTGTTCTGATATGAGTTTTGGGTGTGTGTATGTGTAGAGCACACAGGGGTGTTTTCAGGGCATAATTCACGTACGGGTCGCGCATAGCCTCACCTTCTTGCCCTCTCCTTGCCTCCCTCTTTTCATTTCCATGATACCACAGGAACTGTTAGCATCAGCAGCGTGGGACAGCACGTGTTGCCTGTGGGACGTGTTCGAGGCCAAGGGCGGAACAGAGCCCCTCCCCCACTCGCACGAGGTGCTCGCCCTCGCCTTCCGCCCGGACGGCCGCCAGCTGGCGACCGCCACGCTGGACGGCCACATCCACCTGTGGGACCCCCTGGAGGGCGAGCTGCAGGGGAGTATTGAGGGGCGGCGGGATCTGGTCGGCGGGGCGGCGGCGGCGGGTGGCAAGGGCGGCAAGGCCGGGCGGGGGGCAC